AATTCAATCAAATTTTTTTTCAAACTGGCAAGTTTGAAACGCCCATGTCAACGCAATTTCACCGTTACAAAAACTGTTTGCAGGAAAAAATACATTTTTAATGGCAAGTTCAGAACCTGAATACTTTCATGGGGGCTTGAGAAAATTACGTCAAAATGACCAGGTGAAAATTCAAAACCAACCTAGAAAAAATCACCCCAGTTTAGACATTCCATCGCTTTCATCAAAAGTCGGAACAACAAGCTGCTTGTTAAAAACAAGTTGCTTCTATCAGAGCGATAACTTGAAGATTCTGACTACCTTTTTAGCATCAATTAAAAGTTTTTGCTGATTGATTTTTAACGAGGGGGGATGGGACACGCTGAGCAAAGTACGAACGGATATACTTTGAGTCAGATAAAAAGAACATAATGGATGCCTCAGTTCAAGTTCGAATGAATAAGAATAATGAACGCAGTGAAGACTCTTATATACGTCTTGGTATTTGTTTTGTTTATTTTTTAAGCAAAAAGTCTTAATTTGCTTAATAACTACAGATGTGCATTCAAGTAAATGTGCACAATTTGAGTTCAATTGAAGTTCATCGGCTGAAAGCTACAAAAATGGCACTCTCGAATTACGAACGCGAAAAACGTGAACGATTTCTAATTTCAAACTAGAATTTAATGTATAGATTTCCCAGCGAAATAAAAACGTTGTTCAGTTTTGACCCAGTTTTCTTGAATTAAATTAATTTCATCAAAAAAATACCAATCACAAATTGTTCTTGTTATTCAAAAAGAATTTAGGGCATTTATTTTTTTAATTAAAAGTTTTTCGCAGTAAAAGCAAATCCGTTTTTTTTTCTGTTTCCTTGAGTCCATTACTTTCTTTAACTGACAGTTGGTTTTATTTTAGCTTGCCTCCTACGCTTCAATAGCGATAGATATTGTGAGATAATTAATTATAAATAGACAGTGATCAAAATAGTTACTTATTCAACCCCTCATAATTTTTGAACAAATGTTTCCAGGCAAATTGTTTTTAAAAGGTTTTGATATCAAAAAATTTCAGATGGTAGAAAAAGTTTTGCCAAAAATGGCTTATTGAAAATTCGGACTTTGCTTGGAAAAAAATCAGCCGAGCGCGAATCTTTGACCATTTTCATTGAAAGTGAGCACGTAATAATAGTGTAGATGTTGTGTTGTGTGTAGTGGGAGGCTGTCTATCGGACTATGCCATGCAAAGAGGTGGAGGACAATGCCATCATCCTCTCCTTCTACTTTGTCACCTCCCTCGTCACTGGCGCGGGATTCGGAGACATCACTGCCGCCAACGAACAGGCAGGTTTTGGTTTCCACTGCTGATATTTTTCTGCACATTTGATCATCACGGTCTTGTCTAAAAATGTTGAATACTTGCATATTTCAAGCTATTTCAAAGCTTAAAAGACTATTATAGTTCTGATCAGACATTGTTTTCGCTTAGCCTTCCGAGGCTCGAGATCGTGTTTTATCTGATTTTTCTTAAATTGCACGTTAAATAGAGAAAAAAAACTTGGATGTAGTTTCTTAGCTATCATGTAAAACATTTTGTTCGAGGAGCTGATCAAGATAGTGACAATTGCAATGATCTTCGTTATATTCCGAGCCATCTTCCTCGCCCTCATTCTGGCCATTGTGTTCGCTCAGGTACGCATATGATAGATGAGCACGTAAAACAACATTTTTGATGATATAGGATCAAACACAAGATATTTTCTAGTATAATCGATCGATAGAGTGTGCTCAATCCCCTGCCATGGCGATGTCAGTGTGTGGGGACGAGCTGCCACTTCAGTTCTTCGGCAACTTGATCGATTATGGCTGCAATAGTCGTAAAAAACGGCCTTAAGTTCTATAAAAAAAAGAGCTTTGCCCACCATAAGAGCTCATAGGCCTACTTATGACTCCTTTATGATGCTACTACAATATTATTTTGAAAAATATTCTAGGTAAAAGAAAACTCAATTCCCATTTCGAAAAGGGGTTTTTGTTCCCAACACAATGTGAAGAAGTTTAGGATTCGAATGTTTTTTCTCGACGCATATCTAGGTACTTTAAAACTTTTTTCATTGGTTTTACAATTCTACATATGGTCAAAGGATGTATCATACGAAAGCCCTGTCTGAAACCAGTTTTTGGGTCTCGACAAAAAAACTGTCTGAAAACTTTTCGGGCTACTTTTTGGGCCAATTTAGAGTGAAGAAGGTGTGTGTTCTAGATAGTGCACCACTTCGTTTTATCAAAGTTCTAAGTGATTTCCCATCTATCATACTTGTAACTTGATGCAGACCTACTATGAGACAATGGTGAAGAACAAACTGGTGGTGCTGAACAATTACTTGGCCAGAAGGAGATTCATACAAAATGAAGACGCAGTGGAGTACCAGATACTGAACTACTTTCTAGACAATGCAAGACCCGAGGGAAAGGTGTTCAACCCGTTTAGTCCTAAAATATGTTTAAAAACCAAGTTCTATGGAATAAGCATTTAGATCTGAACAAACTCAACTCAAGTTCGAGTGATCTCATTAAAGCAACGGTAGGTAATTGTTTGATGCTAATTTTTCGTTGAAACAGTCTTTGGAAACAAATAGTTTTAAAAACCAGACCGAAATTATAGGCTCAAAAAACGTACAGGTATGTTTTTTGAATTTCATAACCTTATGACTTTAACTTATGACACTCAATAATTTAGGAGAAGAAAACTTGAAAAAATATCGCCCGAGACTTGTATTTAGTTTTGTGACAAAATGATTTGTGTGTTCAGGTGATCCCATTCCTTCCGGAAAGACTGCGACAGAAGTACCTGAAGGCAGGGAGACTGTCGTACCAGAATGTGAAGAATGTATTACACCACCCCCTGCTCACTGTCCTCACTAGGAAGAGGGGCTGGTTCACTGCCATGTATATCCTCAAGATAGTGCTTCTGTGTACTTTGTCCTGGATTGTACTATTCGAACAGGTTGATTAAAGTTATATTCTTAACTAATTGTTCCGACCATTTGAATTCATTTGTTCCGGCCCATTCGGGTGTGTTTTCCACGGTGTGTTTTTGAAAATCCACCCCCTTCGAGAAATTCCTAGATCCGCGCCTGGGTTTCTCAAATAATTATCGGAATGGGTCGAGTGATATATCATATTAAAGCCCTTTCAGTCTTTATTCGAACGACAACAAAAATTTCAAATGTTTTTTTTTCACAGTGTCGCAAAAGACCGTTAGAAATTTTTGAATTTTGGTCTAATTTCGAACTAATATGGCGTGAGCATTTAGGCTTACAATAGCTTATTTAAGCTTACTTTATACCGTGAAAACTTAGTTTTACTCAAGTTAAAGTCATTTCTAGAGTTTTTTAGCGCCATTTTGTAAGCAAAGATTAGTAATTCCAAACAACTTGAAAAAATTTAGAAAAAAACGACACTAATTTTTTGTATTTTTCTAAAACTTTGGTCGGAACATTCTGTGCTACTTGCACAGTAACCGGCTCTCCTTGATTTACTATATTTTTTATGAGCTGGTTTTAGAGGGCGGGCGCCTTCCCCCCTCAGAGATCGACCCCCTGCAATTTTTTGGTCAACATTCCTGCGGAGAAAAACATTTGGTCAAAATAAGGTCTTTATAGTGATTTGGGAAAACTCAGAAAATCCATTTGGTCGAATTGAAAAAGAGTTCCTTGAAATAATTTTTTTCTCGAAAATCCAACCCATCCTCGAGAAAATCCTAGATCCGCCCCTGCTGATCTTCCATATACAATCAGAAGTAACTAAAATGATTCTATAGGCAATAAATACAACTTCATGTCATTATCTTTATCAAAATTTAATGATTAGCTTATCTAAGCTGATTTTTATTGTGACCACTGAGCGTGGTGAGGAGCGTTTGCCTTCAGGTGTTTTTTGTTCCGAACATTGAAAATGGGGAGGAAATTGTATTCAGATGTTTTAGTTTTTTCTTTTTGTATTCCACGCAAAATCAGGTATCAAAAATAATTATCGGACTGGGTTGTGTGATATATCATATTCAAGCCCTTTCAGTCGTGATTCAAACCACATTAGTAAATCCCAAAACTTTTTTCTAGTGTCGATTTTTCGTCTTAATTCGGGCGAATAAAGCAAGCGAGCAGGCTTACAACAGCGGGAACCTGCAAGTATGCTTAATTTAAGACCTTAAAACTTTTTTAAAAGCAAGTAAAACAGATTTTGGAGTATTTCAGATTCATTTTGGCAAGCAAAGTTTTCAAAAAATTTTAAAAAATTTATTAAAAAAAATATTCATTTTTTTTTTAGTTTTTCTAGTCATTTTTATGCAAAAGTTTTTGTTTAACTTGCCTATATTACTATGACTGTCTAATATGCCTAAATTTTTTTACGTCATATCTTTTTATCACACCAAGTAGAAAAAACTACCCTAATTTGGAAAAAAAATTCTAAACCGTAGTTTTCTAAAGACTATGGTCGGAACATTCTGTGCGACTTGCACAGTAACCCATTTCTTTTTAATGTCCTTGTTTCTTTTTAATTCTCGTTTCTTTTTAATGTTTTTCATTTCTGGTATTTGAAAAAGCTATCCTTGTCAGAGATATTTTTTGAGGTACTAGAAACCTTTGGACTCTTTTACTGTTCAACCGCACTTTGTGATATTGGGAAAATTAAACCCCAGTTACCATTGCACAATTGTTTGAATTACTTAACTCCAAGTAACTCCTTGGTCTTCTACAAGTGGTTATCTACAACCTTGCAAAACTAGTAATGGTTTGTGCAAAAGAATTTACTTTCGTCACAGTGCCCGATCGGGGGGGGGGGGGGGGGGGGTAAAAGGAGGGACATCATTTGTGATTGTAGATGATCTGGTTCAGCAAAGAGAGACTGTACGAGATGGACAGAATATTCGCAGCCCTCATCATCGCCACCTCCACCGCCATCGGCAACGTCGACCCCACCCTCATATCCTCCGTGTATGTCTACTGCACAATATCCCTCATGGGGTGGTTCTTCTTCAACTCTGTCAACGTCCTCCTCTGTAGCATCAAGATGAGCGAGGATGTACTACTCGGAAGGTAACACCAACAGCTGATAGAAGGTCACTTCTCACAAGAGACTGCTCCGAAAATACTGGTCCGAAGATTTTGCTAGGAAGTTACTATGTCCGGATTTGAACCAATTGTTTCAATTTCGAAAGTTATGGAAGCTTAGAAAAAAAGCATGAAAATCACTTTTCCAAAATAAATTAAACTTAAATTGCCTAGAGCATTCAGTTTGATAATGAAAAATCAGTCGTTAAAGTAGTAGTGTTGTTATGGTTAAAAGGCTAAAACTATTGAGTCTTTGATTAGCAAATGTTGATAAATTATGTTTTTGATTCAGCGTTTGACCTTCTCTGGAATATTCTAAATGCTACATTAATACATTTTTTTGTACTTACATGAAAATGTACCACCTATTATATATCACCAAATATGTGAGAAAAGGTTAATCAGAGGTTTGGAAGTTCAGTCGAAAACCAAGTCGGTCCGCAGCTTTTTTCTCGATTATTCGAACTCACTTCAATTTCATTCATTTTTTTGTTGACTGTTGACTTGTGCAGGTATAACCAGAAGATGTTGTATGTGATGAAGACTTTCAAACACCTGAACGACAAGAAGTTCAAGACTGAGTCCCAGAGAGAGGAGATAGAGAGGGCGGAGAGGGAGGAGAGAAAAGTCGTATTCGTCAACAGGTACACTTTAAACTCTAATCCTCCACTGAAAAAACTTTCAGGATCTCTTAAACGTTATCAAAGTCTTGTTTTTTGCTGCGCTATCTCGTGAACCTGAGTTTTTAGGCAGTAAATAGACCCAGATTTCGAGGTCGTGGTTTTATTTACAGTGAAACGCGAATAATTTTTAGACTAATTGCAATTGTGCGTTACCCGAGACAATTTTTCCAATTTGAACGCTGGATTGGGGCGGTTTAAGCAATGAAATAATTACCAGCGCTCAAAAATTGTTTCCATCTTGTACGGCGTTGGGCATTTTTGAAGGGTATCTCGACTTGCGGGGTATCTTGATTTTCAGTGCTGTTTTCTACTACATTCTAACTGGGGTACAAACAATGTCCTGTATACATTAGGGTGTGCTCAATTAGATAATGAATGGTTGTTCAGATTCGAGGTGGACTACCACGAGTTGTTCAGAGGGTATCAGTTGAGATGGCTGCTCTACCAGGACATGCAAGTGGATCCCAACCACCTAGGCAGATTCATGACTCCTCCACAACTACTCCTGGTAAGAGTTTTTTCCTCTTCCAACGCCAAATAAAGACCATATTTGTAACAAGGAAAGCCGGTTACTGTGCACAAGGTTCACAGAATAATCCGACCAGTCTTTAAAAACTACAAAAAAGTTTTTTTTTCAAATTAGTGTAGTTTTTTTTCTGCGAGGTGTGATAAAAGGATAAGATGTAAAACTATAATTTAGGCATCTTCGAAAAATCATACTAATATAGGCCAATGGGACAAAATATTTTGTACAAAAATGGCTAAAACCAAAAGAATAAAAAAAATTTAAAAAAAGTAGAATTTTTCTGAAACTTTTAGTTCTCGAAATGGATTTAAAAAAACTAATTTTACTTGCTTAAAACTAAATTTTTAGGAATTTTTTAGGCACAATCAAGCTGTTTTAAGCCTGCTCGCTCGCTTTATTAGCTCGAAATGAGACGACACATCAAAAAGAATTCAAACCGATTTTTCTCAACACTGGGGATTTTTTTTGAAATTTTTTAACGTTGTTCAAATTATGACTGTACAAACTTTAATATGATATGTCACTCAAATCAGTCCGATGATTGTTTGTGGTACCTGATATTGCGTAGAAAATAAAAAACTAAAACACACCCAAATATTTTCAATGGTCAGAACTACAAATTGCTGACCAGCTTAAGTGTGAAAACCATATATGCTTGGAATAGAGTGATCAGTCCGTATGTCAATTGTTATATAAAACGAAGATTGTGGCCGCATTCATTTCTAAGAGACATGAACGTAGTGAATCCTCTTATATAGAACTTGTAAGTAATTTTTTTCAGGAAAATATTGGTTCAGGCTCAGATTTGTTAAAAGGAAGTTAACTCGAACAGCAAAAGTGTGTAAAGGTCACAAAAACTTGATCGACTTCTAGTTTTGAAAGTAATTTTTGATTTTCAGATTTTCCAGCGGAGTAAAAATTTATTCATTGACCCAGTTTTCTAAAATTTTTACATAAAGTTTTATGAAAAAAAAAGTTTCAACCATAATTTTTTCTTCAAAATTCAAAACTTGAAGTTTTCTTTAAAAAAATGTACTGTTATTTTTCTACATTTTTTCCTTCTTAACTGTTTTCAAATTGGTTGATGGCTATGTTTACGCATATATTTCATAGGGCCGCCCACTAGACAATTATGAATGTAGAAAGATAATTTTTTATTTAGGTATAGCTTTAGCTCTCAAACCAAAAATGGATATGATATCTAAAAGCAGTTTTCTATTAGGTTTTCATTTGGAAAGACTGCTATATATTTTTGGCAAGGGCTTTTCACTAAAGAAATGGTCCATATATATTTTTTGGAAAAATTGCCCTGTCTTTTTATTGGCGAGCACCTCGCTTCACAAATAGTATATGTTGGCGTCAAAGCCGCTTTTACAAAAATTTATGGTCGGTCGGCCAAACATGGATATGTCTTGAATTCGTACGAACGGAAGAGGACCCTTTGGTTGATGAGGGATTAAATAATTCAAAGCGGGAAGAGTTGAGGGCGAGCAAAAGCGTCCGCCAACCGCCTCCCTTAAATGTGCCCCAATTAAAGCTTTAAAAGGGCCCAATAAAATTAAACATTCAATCAAGCAGATTTTTTAGAGTAAAAAACGTAGCGATGACTTCTATTTAGATATTGATGTTTTTTTTGTTTTTTTTTAATGAAAAACTTTTAAGCTTTGTTCAATCTCAAACTTGATCATTTGCGGTTTGACTTAAAGTTTTTCAAAGTTCACTTTTTTTGCTTTAGTATAGACAATTGTACTGGACGTAAAAAATGGTTGCTTTCTATATTCGAAGAGGGTTTTAGTTCCAGATTTCCCAGCTGAATAAAATATTGATGCAATTTTGGTCAAATTTTTCAGAAAAAAGTGATTCATAATTTTACTTAGCTCAAATACTGAAAAATAATGTGACCAAAATAAAGTGAACACTCTTATATAGGTCTGGGCAACTTTTTTTGAAAATAATGAACCTAGTAAAGACTCTTATATAGGTGTTGGTATTTTTCTTTGTTTTTTTTTTCAGGAAAAAGTCTCGAAATGCTCTAGATACTACAGATGCGCATTTATCCTTTTAATGCATTTATAAATGCGCTTAAGTTTATATGCACTTTTTGAGTTCAATTGAAATTCATGTTCTAAACATTACGTAAATAGGACTCTCCAAATATGAACGTGGAAATTGCTCAAAAAAACTTGACGGATTACTAGTTTTGAACAAAAAACCTGAACGATTGCTGGTCTTGAATAAAGTTTTGAACAATTTCGGATTTCCAGCGGAAAAGTTTTTTACTTATTGATCCAGTTTCTCTCAATTTTGGTTATTGTTATCAAAAAAGCGCCAATCATAAGTTTTTCTTGAATTTAAAAGAGCTTAAAGGGCATCTATTTATTTACTTTAAATTCGAAATGTGAGATTTGTTACACAAAATTTAAGAGATTAAACTAATTCTGAAATTCTAAGAGTCAATGAACATAGTTCAGACTCTTCTTAAGGTCGCGACGATTTTTTGTTTTTTTTTTCAGGAAAAGTATTGAAATGTGTTCAGGCTCAAAATTTTTTTTCGCGGTTTGACTTTTGATTTCTTTTGAATTTCAGTTTTTTTCGTTTGCTTAAAAGAAGGCAAACTCCACTATCGAGCAGCAAAAATGTAATAATCACTAAAATGTGAACTATTTTTAATTTCAAAAGTGCACTTCATTTTTCTTTGCTAGCGAAATAGAAAGTTTACTTATTGATCCAGGTTTTTCAAAAAAGTGCTAATCATAAATTGTTCTAGAAGTTTAAAGAGCATTAAAGGCATCTATGTTTTGTTTGAAATTTTCAATTGATATTTTTCACAAAAGTTATAATCAGTAATTTTTTTCTGTTCACTTGCGTTCATTGACTCTTTTCCAACTGTATGTTGTTTATATTTTTTGTCTACCACTCATATGGATGAGGATAATGTTTATTTGGTCCATTTTTTGTTTTGTCAAGGTGAACAGAGAAGCGGATAAGATGCTGGATTCGTTCCCAGTGATAAGACAGTTGCACTATGGGTCAAACGAGGTCATGTTACGTAACGCCAAAGTGCAGTTTTATCAGCGAGACGAGACCATCTTCAAACAGTGCGAGTACGATGCGTCCATTTATATTCTGATCAATGGCAGAATTGGTATGGAGTTCAGATATATCAGTCCGTTTGAACCGAGTTATGTAGACACTGCGCCCCTGCCAATTGAAAGCTCAGCGGGGTAAGCTACCAATGAAGAACAAAGACATGCATTTTTTCGGCTAATTCTTGGGCTGCGAAATAGTGTCTCACCTTCGACCAACAAGCACCTCAGATAATGATGGGACTCGCATTTCTGTCCGCTTTTTGGAGGCAGAACTGCTAGCTTTCTGTTTCAGGGCCTTCAGTTCAGAAGATGACGGAGTTTCTGGGGCAGGGGGTAGAAGCAGGAGAGCGAGGGCGGTGAGGGGAAGACAGCCGCAGTTCCTCTACCACCATATGAATGCAGAACTCATAGGCGCGTTCGGATTCTTCGACAATACAGTCCAATGCGACACTATCAAGGTATCAAACTAATATAAAAACAACTTTTTTTTTACTATCAGAAAGAAAGAATTAAATCCATAATCTATCGGTCAAAATTCTGAAACTCTGTATTTAATAAGAAGGGTTTGTTTTTTTTTCTACTTCACAAACAAGTTCTCGTAGTTGCCTTGAAAAAAACTTAAAAAAAGGATGCTGTCCTTTGTTCCAAAACATGGTTTTCTGTTAGAAGTATGGCGCTCCCGGGTTGAGTTTTAATAACTATCATCGATGAAAATTGTTAATCCAGTTTTAAAAATATTTTCAATGATGATTTCGTGTTATCTCATACATTGGTGAATTAACAATTTTTATTAGCAAAAAATAGATAAAACAGCGATGATCATCGCTGAATTGTTATCATTCAGTGCTAAGTAAAAAAAAAACATAAAACATCAAAAAACATCTATCTATTTTTCTTCCAATCAACGATCAGAAAAATATTTTGTAATTAAAACATGGTGGGGGAGGTAAAAAAGGGTACCCCCGCCCCCTTTACTATGAAGGGGGGGGGGGGGGGTGAAAACGAGGGGGGGGGATGGGGAAGGGTAAACACGGCTGCGGTAAGCAGAGAAGGGGAAAAGTTTTCAAGTATTCCATCTCGTGAAGTCATCGCTAATTTATTGCTAAGAAGTCATCGCTGGTTAACCGCTAAGTCATTGCTAATTCATCGCTAAAATTTTCGGAGTTTCCAGATCTGAAGCTGTGCAAATACAGCACTGAAATTTGCTGTTTGGGTAAATGCTTAGCGCTAATTCATTGATGGAGATCAATTTTCTTTTACAAATTTGCATAGCTAATTTGCAACCTTAGGAGTTCACCTTAAGTTCACTTTAAGATTGTCAGGTTGTGTATACCGTTCGCTGCCATCGCAATGAAAGTGTGTGAGCTCTCACTTGACTTCTAACTTCCCGCCTACCACAGTAAAAAATCGGCCTTGGGTAGCTAAAAATACTCCAAATGAAATTTTTCGGCGCAGAAAGAAACCTTTTTCTATGATTCATTTTCTACATTTTCAACCTTGTGTAGAAAAAAGAATTTTCGCTCTGGGACGTTTGAAAACGGACCATTTGGTCTAATGATGCTCCCTCAGACTTCGCACTTGGATTTATTTTGCACAAAAACTTATACTTGTCTGATTGTAGCCTGAAAATAATTTAATTTTCTTATGAACGTGGGAAACTAGAAGAATCTGGATAGCCTTGCATATATTGTCTGCGAATCACAGAAACCACAATTTTTCTTGTTTTTTTTAACAAAGACAAAGAAATTCTGATTCGTTGACCAACAGTATACTAAATATGATTACAATCAGAAAACCATGGAAGAAAAGATTACAATTTTAAAAGTTGTCAAAACCAATTAAAATCCATTCGAAATACTTTAAATTAATTCGCGCTTTTTGTTGTAGCTTTCTCAGAAAAAGAACAATAAGTTTGCTCTTTTTACCTTTAACTTTCTTCTGACAAAAATCAAATGACAATTTAAATTAATATTGATGCCCTGAGCTATAAAAAAAAGCTAAATAATTCATATTGTTTTTTGGGTTTTTTAAATCAATTTAGAACTTGGGAACCGCATCACTCGATTTTTTTAAATAAAAAAAAATCAAAGAGTCCTCTTCAATTGTGCAATGAAGGCGAAAGTTTATTTTTCATAATCCAGTTTCTTTTTTCAGTCGGATTAACAAATAGTCTCAATACATTGACTCAATTGTATGTCACACACTTTTGGCTGAGGGGGAGCGCATGCCTCAAAAACACGAGCATTTTTTTGGTCAGTTTTGTTCAAAAAAAGATCAAAACCTCATTTTGATCAAGAATTGATGCACGTAGTGATAACTCTTATAAAGTTAGTGATTATTTTTGTTTTTCTTTGGAAAAATTCATAAAATTGTTTATTCTTAAATTTGATTGATCGCGGATTCAATCTTTTTTTGTTCCGACTTTCGTAACGAAAAAAAACGGATTACTTGAGCTCGGGGGGTTTTTTTCGTCAGACAAATTTCGACTTTTTAACTGGCCATTTTTGACGGAATTTTTAAAATACATTCGAAAACTATTGTTGTCCTAAGCTTGAATTTGAAAAAATATATATTTCACCTGTGATTATTTTTTGTAAGATTATGAGGGTTTAAATATTGCTATTCTGGCCAATTTGGGACAATTAACGAACGATATATTTCGCGCTATTAACGCGTAAGCGAAGATTTAATCCCTCTTGGAAATCGCTACAAATTGGTTGAAAGAAGCTTTTTTTTGCCATACATGATTTGTTACTAGGGGCGAAAATTATCACTTGGTACTTTATATGGCATGTGTGGGGTTAATTTTCATAAAAGTCTCAATTTAAAAAAAAATTCTGCTTTTTTTATTACATTTTTTTTCGTGTTATTACTGCTCCATAGACCTTAAAAGGCAGTCGGAACATTCAGGGTTTCGCCCTGATACGAGCAGTCTTGTTTGGTTTTATCTTCTTTTATTTTCTGCATCAGCGAATAGCAAAACGATTGAAATACGAAAAACGCTATCAACTTTTCTTCTAGATTTATCAGCTGAATAAAATCTTTAATAATTGATTCGCTTTTTCGAATTGAAATATTTTTATCCAAAATTGTAAAATAAAACAACTTTTTGAAAATCTAATAGTTTTGAGGCCATACATTTTTACTTTCAAATTCAAATTCTCAATATGAAATTTCTTCAAAAAACTAATCAGTTCTGTTTTGGTTTCCTTGCATTCATTAACTCCTTTCCATTTTGCTGGTTATGTCCTGTTATTTAGCTGATGAAGTCTTTTTCGGATTTTAGGGAGAATCGCAAAACCAAATTAGAGCCTAAATTGTTCATGAGCTTCATCCAAAAACAATCTGATCAAGAATAAAAATCTTGCGCATAGTATTGCTCAAACAAACCTAAATTGAACAGAACTAATAATCGGTTGAACCCAAATTGACAAAAATGCACCTCAAAATCATTATCGAGACATTCTTTTTCATTTATCTACTTACTGCACTCTTTCATTTTTTCTCAACAAAGATCGGAAAAGATTCTGGGCATTCTGAAAATTTTTATTTAGGAAAGTATCCGCAAATATACATAAAACAAAAAACTAGACATAAAGTCTCAAAAAAGTAATCTTTTTTTGACATGTTGGAATTCAACTAACGCGTTGTTCAACTATCCTACTCGGTCAATTTTAACATATTTCCATGTTTTTCCGCACAAAAACATTAGGCAGTTTGAAAAATGTGACATATTTGAAAGATAACTCTTTTCAAAACAATTTGTTAGCACTATTATGTTTTTGTTATGAAACAACGATGTACGAGAATTCGTTTTTCGATAATTTGATATTCGATATTATGATTAACATTTATCATTTTAGTACAGGCAGTTAAGTGTAAATGGTTTACTATACTTTACCCTACTACATTTTAGGGCGTTTTTTTCTTCTTCAATTGTTGTTTGAGATCATTTTGAGCGTCAAATGAATTTTTTTCACGCTACGATTTAATAATCTGCTTTCTGAATTCCAGCGATTTTTTTTGTGATTCATTTTTGTCTCTGATAATCAAAAGCTGAAACTTTTTGAAACAAGTATTTTCATTAGAAATTAAGAATCTATTTGAGACCAATTTTTTGAAATAAAGAATGATAATAGTCTCAAATTAGTCTCAACGATTGAAAAAGGCAAAAGGTCATTTTTTAAGACAAGCAGAATAAACTCCTGTCCGTTCAGTTTTTCCTTGATTTGGTTCAAAAATTTCAATATAGATTTCAAAATAAAAGTTATATTGAATTCTTTTTAGGGAAAAAAATTAGGGAATTTCTTTCTTGTTCTACTTTTGATTGGATGGCTTGAGCTCGGATTTTTAGGAGCAATGAGCTTAGTGAAGACTCTTACATAAGACTTGATAATTTTTTTTTCAGGAAAAAATCTTTAAATGCTCTAATAACTAAAGATGTGCATTCAAACATATTAATGCATTTTTTAATCCACTTTGGTCTTTATGAGCATTTTGAGTTCAATTGAAGTTCATCTTCTGAAAGTTACGTAAATAGTACTCTCATATTGATCCAGTTTCCTCATGTTGCGCAAATGTTATCAAAAAAATGCTTTAGCTTTTGATCCAGATTCCTCAAATTGAGTAAATGTTATCAAAAAATGCCAAAAATAGATTGTTCTTGAAATTCGATGAGCTTAAAAGGCATACAATTTTTTCTTTGAAATTTGAATATTGAGATTTTTTCAACGAAGTCAGCGTTTTTGTTTCTGTTTACTTACGTTCATAACTCTTTTTAACTGTCAGTTAGCTATGATGGGAGGTTTGCAAATGAAAACAAAGAATCAACAGGAAAACAAGCGCTCAACTAATCATTTAAAAAATCATTGAATAAATGAATACCCAAATAACCAATAAAATTAAAAAAAAAAAAACGTTATAAATTTATCGTTATAAATTTCAAAAATTAGGTTAACCTATTTTTTAATTAATTTCAAATGAATTAGTTTATCAAATCAAACAAAGACACTTGAAGAGAAATAAAATTCTTAGGCAGTGATCTTTACTTGTTAGTGAACATGGTAAAGACACAAATTGCGGTTGTCCTTTAATTTTTTTATTAGAGTATCAAAAAATCTATTAAATATAGAGTTGAAT